GTTTTTATACAAGACAGGGATTATTTTGCAGATTAACCTAAATTAACTGTGCAAAAACTTTATCCTGGCACTCGCACTAGCTGATCTTTAAAGTATCCGGACACCTTGGCACCTAGCAGCCCTCTCTTGGCGCCGGGGTGTCCGGATACTTTTGAAATCGGCTAGTACATACAGTGCACCAGAATCAACACCAACACCCCCGCGCGGGTATAACAGACCATGATATGTCTCGGCCAAGCAAGAACCGGTATCAAAAAGGTCTGGAAACAGAAATGCGCGGGGTTGAAACGGCTTTCCGCTCCTATGATATCAGATTATCGGGGCATCCAGCCCGCCAGGACATGATAGGCTCTGTTCGACAGTTTCACGGAATTGCGGGTCCCAATACGTCCCGCGTGCTGATCCTATGCCGTGTCGGTGAAACATTGATCCGTCCCGGGGAGGAGGGGTTTTTGTCTCTGGCTGGAGATTACGGGGTTGGCGGGGATAGTGAATTTCAAGAGTTTTCTCTTTTTACGGGTAAGTTACGGTATCATACGGTATTGTGCCTATCCAAGCGCCCTTTATTTTTATTACTCGTAGTTGAGCGACGTTTATGTGGACATGACTGTTATTGCATGATGCTAGGATCTAAGTAAGAAAGCTGGGTTCGGCCGGCGGTACTTGTACCGGTATGCAATAGTCGCAGTTTTGTTCACAAACGTCGCTCAGCCACGAATAATATTTATATAATATATATATATATATATATATATACCGTATATATACACCGGTACCCAGAGAGAGAAAAGGCATTCTCACTCAATAACCTGATTGGCTCCCTAGACTAAAATAGGATTAGGCGGCTTCCGAAGATTAAGCGAACTCCAACTGAAAATAAGCTTTTAAGCCTCTTTTGACGTCCCCTCTTTTCCACCTTGTCATTCACAAACACCCATCAGCGCCACCAACCCCCGGAGCTGACCCGAATGACAATGGATGAGGAGGGTGAGATACCCGCAAGGGAAGCGGTGCATCAGTATACCCCCCCTCTTGTCCCTTGCCCCCACTCCCCCTCTTTCTTTTCTTTTTGAGGGTTCGTTCTTTTTTTTTTTGTTTCTAACTTAGGGCTGATGTGGGGCTTGCACGGATGGTATTGAAGTCCATTAAAGTTGTTCGATCTTGCAAAGAGTGCGGGGAAGGTGTTGTATGTGCAGGCACCGATGGTTAGGTATGTTCTACGTGGGATGTGGCGGTAGGGGCGGGGGGGTGAAAATTCAGCTGAAAGGGAATAGGTATAGCAAGCTCCCTTTTCGGGCTCTAGTGAGGGATTATGGGGTCGATTTGTGTTATACCCCTATGGTGAGCCTGAAAAAGCCTGACTGGGTGGCATGATGCTCGGAGCCAGAGCTAAGTTGATGCGTGCCCTAGATTCTCGCAAAAGAATTTGTCAGGAATCAGACAGCTCGACTTAGCGGTAACTTATCCCCACCCCCCGATCACTCATCACCCCCTCCCATACCGTATTCACCGCTCTGAAGTTACACATGCTAAGAAGATTTTGCCAGACTTCACAACAAACGCATCGGACCGCCCCCTAATTGTCCAATTCGGGGCCCATTCCTCCACGGATTTTGCCCGGGCTGCTGAAATGGTAAAGCCGTACGCCGACGGTGTAAACCTGAATTGTGGTTGTCCGCAAACATGGGCTATTCAAGAGGGTATCGGGTGCAAGTTAATCCAGCAACCGCAGCTAGTGAAGGAAATGGTGCGTGCGGCAAAGGGTCGGTGTGGGGAGGGCTTTTGCGTGTCGATTAAAATCAGGGTTCATCATGATTTGCGAGAGACGGTAGATTTTGTTAAGATGGTGGAGGGTTCTGGGGTCGACTATATTACTGTTCATGGAAGGAGGCGGTCGCAAAGGAGCAGTGAGCCAGTGAATTTGGAAGCTATTGCGCTGGTTAAGAGTGTTGCAGGGGTGCCAATTGTGGCTAACGGAGACGTGTTCAGTTTGGAGGACGTCGAGAGAATTGTGAGGGTTACGAAAGTGGACGGTAAGTCCCTATCCGGCTACCATACGCGCCCCCCCCCCCCCCCGGGGATCTGGGGAACTTGGGTGTTGGGTTCTTCCTGGATCTTGGCTACATGCAATAGCGGCCCGGCTTTATGATCATTTGTGCACTTTGGCCGGAGATTCCCTATACCACCAGCAGGCTACTGACTTTAACACCAATAGGGGTAATGGCTGCCCGTGGCCTGATGGAAAACCCGGCTTTGTTTGCTGGTTTTAAGAAAACGCCTTGGGGAGCAATTGAGCGATTCCTGCACTATAACGCGAATTATGGGCCTCTCCCGCATCAGTTGGTTCTGCACCATGTCGGCGAGATGCTGCGGGACATGATGACCAAGAAGGAAAGGGCAGAAATGACCAGAAATTCTGGCTCCATGGTCGAACTACTAGATTGGCTAGACGAAAGGGTAATTGTTAGGAGATATGGGGAAGCAGGGTTTGGAGAGGGAGTAGAAATGGAGAGAATATCATCGTGACCCGAACTTTGAAAACCGATCCAATCCGTCTTCTGGATCATGTGACGGGTTTGAGTTGATCTTAGCCCCCAGAGCTGCGTCCGGAATTCTGCTCGAGCAACACTAGTACATACGAAAAACAACCTGTGTTGGCCCTGGCGTTTTCTCCGGGCCGTCACAGGTCCAATTTACCGGTGTCAAAGAGCCAGCTGAGACCTACGTGTTTTCGTACTCCCAATGCCCCCACTACTCGAGTACAGCTAGAAAGCCAAGCAAGAAAGGGGCGAACAACATTCTGCCAACGCCTTCGAGGGAGAGCATATCTTTGTGCGCTGTGCGTTTAGGCCCATTTTCCGGATTTTCCCGGGCCTTGGGAGGGTTGCCTTATTTTTTTCGCACATGGCTGAACTACCGTACCATACTCGCCTCCCGCCCGCATGCAATATCCAAGAAGGAGCTATACTTGAGCCAGCCGCGGATCATCCCATCACTCAGAGATATATATTCCGTACTCCGTGATCGGCGCGGGGGCGATTGGTTGATGCCAACTTGATTGGTGAGGATGGTGCTGTGACAAACGCTGGTCTGAAATGCGCTCTCTTAGGTGGGGGTGGGTGAAGGCCGATAAAAACTTCTCGATACCGGTACATGTGCTGGTACGATACTGCACTAAGGATTTTTGTTGTTTCGGACTTACTCCTCTAAAAAGAAAATTGTTGTGGGTGCAAAAGGCTAAAGGTCTTGGACAGAGCAACTGGCACAACAGGGCAACCGACACGAGTGCTGTTCGAATGCTGCCATACAAGTGCTGACTCGGGGGCAGTTATGGTGAATACTCGTTCAAGTGAATTCCGTACAGAGTGAATACTACCGAGCACATACCTTGAACTCCTTCCTGGCGAACTTCTTCATGGTCTGCCAAGTCCTACTTTTCACTTGTGTAGGTCGCGCCATCGTGCTGGTTGCTCCATCCAAAGCTTTATGTTAGATGGAGGGAGTCCATTGAGCCTTGGCCTTAACATGGCTCGGGCGGGTTTAGTTACAATCATGGAGTTATGTCGATGACTTAAAGGACGGGCCCTTCGTCTCAGATATCAGGAACCAATGCATCTAGGAGCCACGGAAATTGGCACGGTCAGAGGAGTGTTTTTATAATAATATTATCATAACTATTAACCCAGCCTACCGATAGGGCTAAACATCATAACCCTAGGCCCCGAGACTAGAGTTGGTTATCGCGCAGTTCCTTATTCCGGGAGCTCGGTGGGAGTGGGAGGTGAGTGGGTGGGCGGGGTTTGTAAGTGAGGATCTATGTACTGATCCGGACGGCCAAACACCTTCGTGGGGTACTGGTAGTCTGTATCTTGTAATCTTATAATATCTTAAAAGTAATCCCGGGAGAGTATAGAATCCAATATTAAGGAAGGTCCCGGAGTATAGTCACAAGACATCACTCGATTTTACCAAGCTGGGGGAGTATGTCATTGTTACGCTCATCAGCCGCCGCCGGCACCGGGTCACTGGTGTCGGTACGGCCCCGCCCGGGCCGCTGCAGTACCACCAAAGCTAGGCCCTGCACGTAAAACTGGTAGCTTGATACCTCTCTTCCGCTTCATTAGCCCCTCCCGCCTGTACTTGTCAGCTGATACCGTCGTGCGGCGCCAGCTGTACAGTTCTCGGTAGGGACTCACTCGGGCCTAGTTGTGCTTCACAGATTGACTGTGAGTTGGCGCGGTTTGTGGTGTAGCTGGTAGATTAAGCGAGTGATTGTTGGTGATGTGTTCCCAGAGTGAATACAGGATGGGGGTGACCTAAACTGACCAGGACTTGAGCTTCCGAGGCCTGTTTGGCCATGGAATGAGCGATGCATAGAGCGGATGGTGAGTGAGTATCACAACTTAACTATTAAAGGTTTTTATAATCTCATTGCGGATTCGAGGGTGGGAGTGACAACTATTTAGCACCTGGAGATGAGATGAGATGAGATAAGATAGGATTGCGGCGCACCGACCGACAAGCAATCTAAGCGTCCAGCATCACAACATATCCCATCATTTGAAACCAATGAACGATTTCTCTACTCGTACTGCATCAAGTAGCCCCAGAACCCACCTGAGGTGACCCAATTCATAAAAATCCTTCCTATCATATTGTCATACCACAGCAGGGTAGAACTTGATCGCTCTCATCCTGCCATCTGCATTGGAACAAAACCGCCGGCTCCACGCCTAACTTTCTTTGCGGTCCACACAAAAGCCGTCCTCTCGGACACTCGTTCACTGGCGAACACAATGGCTGCACCCAGATCAATTACACGCATTATTAAGTCACTCCAGTATAACCCCCCCCCCCAGTCCTCCGCAATCCTTATGGAAGCTAACGGGAAGAAGAAGCACAAGTAGGAACGCCTGCAGCGATCACCACCGCCGGTGCAGAGCCTCATGGCTTCCTGCAGTGGTGCTTGCTAAACGGTATAGCAGTAATGTATAAACCTACTACTTATTATTATTATTATTGCCATGGCTTCTACCGTTCTCCGATCACCTCCCGCTAAAATACCCAGGCAGCAGCAGCAATCGTCGCCGCCGCCGCCGCATCCCCATCCACCGAGCAAACAACCACCACCTCCTCGTCCGCCACTAGTAGCAGTGTCATTGGCAAACAAGTGCAGACGACCTCGGACCTCCCGCTCAAAACATATAACGTTACGAAGGCAGATGCGAGGCCGAAATTGAGCGAGCATCATAAAATCACGTTCGACGAGAAGAAGACTCTGGTGCCCTGGGAGGAGGGGAAGACTTCGCATTTGTAAGGTCATCTTTTTTGGAGGGAGGGTTTCGGGGATGTTGCATTGAACATGTGATTGAGGGATAGCTAATTTTGGAGGTTATTAGCCAACATGTTTGGATGAGGGATCATTGTCAGTGTAGCGAATGTTTTCATCCAGAGACTAAACAGAGGATGTTGAATACTTTTGCTGTGAGTTTGTTTTCCGGGGGTGGGGCTATGGAGTTGGGGTAGCCGCTGACCTGGTTTGGGGGATACTTAGATTCCGGAGAACATTCAACCGGATACGGTGGAGGCTGAGGAGGAAGGAATGAAGATCAAATGTGAGTTTTCATGCTTCGTGTGAAGGAGTAGACGCTGGGGTTTTGAGTAACGTTGTTTTGTTTGCCAAAGGGAAGAACGACGGTCATGAGAGTTTTTATGCCTGGGAGTGGCTACATTTACACTCTTATAATCCGAGATTGGAACGATATATTTCTCCCCAGTAGGACCCCTATAACCCGCAAATTCGCAGGTTCTGAAGGAGTACTGAACACTAGTATAGGTTCAAATTTTGGGGTTCAGAGATTGTCGAAGGGCCACCAGAGGTTAGGTATGAGGCTGTAATGGAGTCTGATGCTGGGGTCGGGGAATGGACAAGAAAGATTGTAAGTATCCTGGCATTCTCCCTACGAGTACTGGCCTTCGCTCTTCGGCATTGACTCAGGGACAATAGCGTAAATATGGATTCTGCTATGTGAACGGCGTTCCTGTAACTCCCGAAGCTACACAAGAGCTTGTTGAGCGAATATCTCACATAAAACATACTCATTATGGTAACAAAATCCCTCGCTTCGCCCTCAGAGTCTGCAGACCGGAAGAAAGGCGTATTGACCGGTATATCCATACTCAGGTGGGTTCTGGGACTTCACCTCCGACCTCTCCAAGAAAGACACAGCCTACACTTCCCTAGCTTTGGGGGTTCATACAGACACGACCTACTTCTCAGACCCCGCCGGCCTCCAGCTCTTCCATCTCCTCTCCCACACCGACGGCTCCGGCGGGCAATCGATACTAGTAGACGGTTTCCGAGCCGCCAAAATATTCCGCGAGGAGAACCCCACGGCATACCGTGTTCTCTCAAACGTTCGTATACCTTCACACAGCTCGGGGAATCAAGACTCGAGCATACAGCCCTATGCGCCGTTCCCGGTGTTCAATCACCATCCGGTCAACGGGGAACTGATTTTGGTTCGGTGGAATAATGATGATAGAGCTACCATGGATAGATGGGACGATCCGGCGGATGTGGAGAGGTTTTACGAGGCCGCCAGAGCTTGGAACGATGTGCTTAAGCGTCGGGAGAGCGAGTATTGGGAACAGCTTGTCCCCGGGAGACCGATCATCCTTGATAATTGGAGGGTGCTGCATGGTAGGGCTGCGTTTGACGGGAAGAGGAGGTTGTGTGGGGCGTACATCTCTCGAGACGACTTCATGAGCAGGTTCGTGCTGTCCAACTCCAAGAGGGAGGATGTTCTGAAGGCTCTTTGAGCCGGGTTTCAACTGGTCGAGTGGCCTTTGGGGGTTACCTTTCATGCTGTATATAGCTTCCAGCATATATTATGTATACATAGGGGGGAGGGGCTTTTTCTTTACGGCCATACAACATTCCCACCACGGGGGAGGAGCGAGCATTGTAAAGTGTATAGCCATCTCGGCAGACGCGTCGCATTATTTTTCGTGAAAAAAGAAAAAAAGGTGGAGACCCCGCTAGTATTACAGCCCTTCTACCAACCCGCCCCCTCTCCGCCAGCGCCGTCCCGAACTTAGATAGGCTTGATCTGTAAGAATAATCACGCTGGTTAGCATCATCACTGTGGTAATCAGCCCCACATAGACAACCGGTTACCTTAAAGTGCAGACTGATCAACGAAAACACCAAAGCCTTCAAATCCTGAACAAGGTAGTAGAAAACACGTAACCCCTCAGGATCAGCACTTTCCTGGACGTCTACAAGCGATCCTATCTTAGCGGTCTCGAAGGAGATATGTTCGTTGCCTAGGCGAATCTCCAACTCCTGGCGTCCATCCTTATTCTTTTGCGGCCATTTACTATCATCTTCCCTAATCAGCGCCAAAGAGGGAGAGAAAGAAAAGTATCGCCGTCAGCAAAATGAAATGAAAGAGGTGGAGGGAGGATTGCATGGGGTGTGCATACTTCATGATCTCACTCTCCTTGATAATCCTCTTAATCTCCTTAATCATCAAAGAGCTCACGCACACTACCAAGCGCCCCACACCATCGTCAGTGCCTGTCCAGAAAAGTGCCGCTGCCGCATCTGCCGACGCTGCTTCTGAGGGGGGGAGAATCGGGGAGAACTTGCTCTCTTTCCGGATCAACGAATCGTTGCGGTAGTTTGAGTTGTTGGCGTAGCGGGCCGTTGCGCTCCTGCCATCGCCGAGGACGCGGAAGTCGAATTCTGGAAGGGGGGAGTGGCGGACTGTGTGTCAGCCTTCGTGTGCTTTCGACTATAGTAATTGAGAGGGTAAGAGGAAGGGAAGAAGGTTGTGCTTGTTGCTGTTGTACCTAAGAATTCATGACCGAAGCGACCGCTATGGCCGCTGTAGTAGCGGAGGTAGAATTGCTCATTGTTTGCCGCCATTATCGGTGTGGAATGACTTATTAAGGGTGGTTGCGGTTGCGGTGATGTAGATGGTGGTGATCGATTGATGGGAGACTCGATAACGGGTATGGTATGTGTGTATGTCTGATGCTCCGGTGGTGGTGGTGATAAAGTTTAAGTCGAGCTGTGGTTGATTGATCGGGATGTTCCGAGAGGGTGTGGCTGCGCCAGTGGCTGGTGTGGGGAATACGGGTATGATAACAGTACGGTACCGTACGATACTCGAGTAGAGTTTGGGGTTTCTTCAATCGAGGGCCCGGTATCGATATCGGTGCGATGGATGAACCGGTGCATAAGGTGTACCTGTAAATATACTCGAGCACCCGTACTGTACTGTACCTACGATACAAACTCCCAGGTTCGCTTCCGCGTTCCTAGTACACACTCTCGCCTTCGTGCTAGGCACTGTAGTGTGCGTAACGGCTAGGTTTCATATTCGTATCTACGGGCTGCGGTGCCGGGTATCATACCAAGGCTTACAGATCTAAGCACCGTACAATACGATCGTGGTTATCCTGTGCGTTGGGTATTTTGGATGAATGAGGGTTAGACACGTCCGCTGTCACGGTAAGTCACTCGCTGCCTGGTAGGGTTGGTATGGTCCGAACGGTAAGTTTACAACCAGGTAGGGCATGACATGATACCATTGGATACGATAGGTAACGTATAATACCGTACGGCAAACTTACAGCGCCAGATGCCATGAGTCGATCGTCATGAAAAAAGCTTGGGTGTTGGCACTCAAACACATAGGATGGGAAACGGGACTACTCGGCATCGGTGGGGGATGCCGTTTTCCGGTATTCTATCTTCCCAGTGCATTTTCACCTCACTGTATCAAAGGTGTAAGGTACGGTAACGTATCGTATTATTCGAGCGCTATTGCCCGGCTCCGAGCTCAGCCATTGTGTTGGGGAAGGCTATCGAAATGGCAGGGTTTGTGCTTAGCTCCGGGTATCTAGCCTTCGTCGCCACCATAGAATTGCATTTTGTTCGGAGCACTGGCAATAGCTCGCACATTTCCTATCAACCACAGAATTCGGGGCCCCTCCTGAAGGCTACGGCTCTATTCTACTTCGTATGCTGTGATTGTTGAACTGGGTGCCATTGCATCTTGCGCTGGTACGGGTAACTTGGCCTGGATTCCTGATTCGGCAGATATAAAGGACTTCCCACCCAGCAGAGCCGCTTTGTTCCGCACCTTGGAATCTGGGATCGGTTTGTCACACCAGGCACGGAGCGCGTATCATCAAAATATTTCTCCCCTCAAACAACCACCGCACGGCTACACTAGGGGAGAGAGAGAGAGAAAAAATCTGCTCCCTTCTCATCCGCTTCCCCCCCTCGGTCACCTTCATCCCCCGGCGGTGACGACCCGGCTAATCGTACATTTTGTTGCACACCTTTTCCTCCCCCCGCTTGCATGACCGTTCTCCAAAGGTCCGGTCGTCGTTTTCCCTCTGACCCCAACCCCTCCGCCGCCGCCCCCATCGCACGCCCCGGACATCCCTACCCGGAGATGTCGGAAAGGCAGAACTTGGAGTCCCAGTGGATCTTCACCGAGGAAGAGCTTCTGCGCACCCCCTCTGTTCTGGACGGTATCTCCCCGGAGCTGGAGCGGGAGCAGCGGGGGAAGGGATGCAACTTTATATTGCAGATGGGGATCCAGCTAAAGCTTCCGCAACTGACACTGGCTACGGCGTCGGTGTTTTTGCATAGGTTTTATATGCAAAATTCTCTCAAGAGACATCACTATTATGTTAGCCCCTCCATCTCCTATCTCCCATGTTTGCTGGGGAGCCTCGCTGACCTCTGTTCCTTTTTTTCCTAGGAAACCGCTGCTACAGCCCTGTTCGTAGCGACCAAGGTCGAGGAGAACATGCGGAAGTTCGGCGAGCTTGTCGCTGCTTGTGTACGGGCCGCTCAGAAAAATCACGCTCTCGAGGTGCACCGGGATGATAAAGAATTCTGGAAATGGAAGGATTGCATATTGACTAAAGAAGACTACCTCCTTGAATCCATCTGCTTCGACCTCTCTGTCGAGGCTCCATACAACCTCCTGCTCCAATACACAAACAAGCTGGGCGTCCAGACACGACAACTCATTCGCACGGCCTGGACCTTCATAAATGACTCGACCCTTACAATGTTGTGCCTCCTCTACCCAAGCAGGACTATCGCAGCTGCCGCATTGTATTGTGCGGCAAAGCACTGTGGAACGGAATTCCCGGATCAGGACGGAAAGCCCTGGTGGGAGGTGGTTGGTGTGCTGATCAAGGACATCAAGAGAGCTTGCAATTACATGGCGGTGGTTTACGAGTGAGTGCAAAAAAAAATCCCAGATCGAAACCCTCTTTCAAGATTCCATTTTTTCTTATCCCCCATCGTTCCAGCAAACCTCCGGGTGGAACTAATGTAGGTACAACCTTCAGGAAAAACCCTCTCCGAGGCGAAGATGGTGTCCGATATGTTGCTACCCCGGAAAACGGAACGGAGACCACCCGGACAAGAGCCCGTGCCGTCAATAATTCGAGCCCTACGGCGGAGAGTGTTTCCAGAAGCAGGACCGAGAGCAGATCCGGCAGTGAGGGTGGGAAAAGAATGAGGGACCAAAGTAGAACAGACGAGGAAATATCTGAAGAGGCGGTGAAGAAAAAACTGAAGCTTCATGAAGAAGTAGTCGGAAATGGGGTTGAGGCGCCTGAAAATAACTCCTCAATGAGGGGGAAAGAGAGGGCGCCCCTGCCCCCGCCCCCGTCCGAGAAACCCGAGAGCGGTGAGCTTGAAGAAGGAGAATTGGATGACTAGGTGCATCCCGACCCGTCCTTTTTATACTCTATTTTTTGGGAAGAGTAAGAGGACAAGGTGGGGGCAGCTTCTGCTCTTTCATGGCTTCCCCCTATCCATCCCTATCACGCTTTCCTACCCCGCCCCCTCTCCCCCCTCCCTCGTAGAACAGACTACCCCCACACCCGCCTACACAAACAAGAGAAAACGCAGAACCCGACAGTGCCAACAAAAACAACCTATCTGCTTATAATCCTTTATCTTTGTTTGGTTCTAATACTTTATTAACCGGCGATTGGAGCTTTCCTTTCTCCCCTTCTGCAATCACCCAATTTCCTTTTTCTCACGCTCTCTATCTCCACTCTCCTTACGCTTGCTTTATTTGCTCAGGTGAAGGGGGGAGTGGTCTTACTTTCCCTTTTCTCTTTTATTCCGTGTATCTATTATTATGGACGGGTTGGAGTTGGAGTTTTTTCCTTTTGTTAGTTGGATGGCTGGACTCGTTGATGGAGGTAACGGGGGGGGGGCGGGAAAGAGAAGGATGGAGGAATTTCAGCGTAGCTTGGCTTATGATAGGTGGTAATTGATGCTCTGTTGTTTATATAATGATGGAGGTTTTATCTACTATTTTGTAGTTGCTGATGTGGGGGGATAGTAAGGGTGAGGTTTGGGGGGGGGGGTGGCGAGGAAGTGCTTTGTGTGGTGGTTTGCATGACTTGGTGGGTGTGAGCAGGCATTATTTGTATCATTAGCTCTTGCTTCAAGCCAATCTAAAGTCAAATTATTGTCCCCAGTGTGTGTGGGTGATCATACCGGCTCACTCGGTAAAAACCACTACCCGGGGAAGGTCAATACTCGCGACTCCCGAATTCAATATAGCACCGGACACAACACCCCGAGTCGGATTATCGGGAAATCAAGAATATCGCAGTACCCCCATGCTGTTCTGTCGTCAATGCACGGATGCCTGCCTCAGCCGAACATGAATTATTATTATTTCCACCATTGATGCTCCTGCTGTGATCACTTCTTCATCTTCTCTCCCCTCGAGGGCGCATCCCCTCCTGCATTTATATACACAGCGTGAACAGAAACATGAATTCTTGCTCTTAACCACAGGGCGAAAAAGAAAAAAAAAAGTTAGTATCATATCATATCAAAATCAAAATCCACTTGCTGGTAAGGGACCCGCCGGAAAACGGAAGAATTCGATCCTTTTCTTCCTTCCTGATCTTGCCAACTTTTGCTGAGGAGGTGGTTATGGTAATACGTATCATTCATACCCCTCTCTTCATTTTCTCTATGTCAGGTGAGGGCTATTATACGGGGAAGGGGGGGGATGTTAAGATTGTTAGATTTTGGGGGTTTGGCTTATTTTTTTTTTTCCAACATGGAGATTTTGATAGCTTTGCGTTATCACGGGTCTTGTCTGGTATCACGATTTTATTTTCTTGGGCGAGGGGGAGGTACTTATCGTTTTGGGAGCATTACCAATTGAGTTTTCTTGGTCCTGACGGACCGGGCATCACAGTATCTATATTGACATACACTTACAGAACTGTCTCTGCCCGCTGGCTACAGTTAACTGAGAGGGGAACTCACGGGAAAGAGAGGGGAGAAAATGGAGCGCATAGGAGACATTTCACACACCGAGGTGATAACCCATGACGGAAACACGCCAAGAACCATGACTAATACCGGTAGTCTCTCAAACGACCCGAATCCCCGTTTCACCACGAGAGACTTCACTATTCATCGAACACTCCGCTCTATCCATTCATTCATTCATCCACCCGACATCACCATGTTGGCACAATCTCTCCGAATCTCGGTAACCCTCCTTCCCTTCCTTCCCTCCATCCACCAATAGACGAGCGGTCGAACGCTAATCACCAATTGTGAGTGATGACAAACAGCGCACTCCCCTCGCTCGCTGTCTGGTCCGCCAGCAACGGCCCCTCTTCCGCACTTTTATCGCCTCCACTACCCCTCGTAAAGGTTTTTTTTTCTCTTTCCAACAATCCCGTCACTCGACTTACTTACCCTTCCTTCCTTCCTTCTGGTCACTAACGGTTCATTCTCTAAAAAAAAGTAGATCTCGTCCAGGATATATATCTCTTGGCACTGAAAGCCTACAAACCCATTGCGGCCAAGGCCAATGATAGCGAAGGCCAGGTAAAGAAGTGGGCTCCTCCGGCTGCTCCGCGGAGCCCCGAGGCCGCTGGGGCCCTGCTCGCGCAGGAATTGAAGGCCTACGAGGCACAAGAGGTTGAGGTTGAAGGGCAGAGCGCTGAGACTGGGGCCGAGGCCCGGGAGGAGGACTGGTTCGAGGAGGAGGCCAACTTTGGCACAGAGGATGGTGCTAAGCATTAGGTTTAGAGAGGGCTTTTTTGTCTTTTTTTTTTTTTTTGCCCTCTTTTGTTTTGCTGAGTGAGGGATTGGGGGATGTAGAATTGCTGTACAGTGAGCGCTGGATGAACGGAATATCAAAATGGAGGGCGGAGTGTTAAAAAAATGGATGAGGGTTCGTTTGAATGCCCATGCTCTACGTTGATGTGTTTTGTTTGGACTGCATCTAGTTGGGTATACTTGGTTGGGAGGTTATATTGATATCCGGTTTCGTGGTTACTTGCGATACGCCCATCCTTTGAGCGTGGGAGTTTGGAGTAGAGTTGGGGGGATTTTGATATATACAAGAAGACAAAGTGATCGCACAAACCCCTGATTTTTAGGATGGGTATGGTGCTTAACATAACAATTCACCTGATACGCTGGCGACACTGGTGCCGTGACCTATGCTGCCTATGACCTCTTTGAAATCGAAAGGGCTTTTCTGTCGGCTATCCGCTCCATTCTCAACCCATTTTCAACCAAGCTCATTGACCAGATGTCTCAGAGGTGCTTCCGGAGGATGGAGGAGCCCGGGGCGGTTTAATGAATTCGGGACGGGAGGGTGTACTCCAGAAAGATTTCTTCAAATCGGAGACCCAGTTACGAAGCTGACAGAATAATGAGTTTGAGTGCTAGAAAGGACCGAGATCGTCGAGATGCTCGCATCGGAGATGGGCTTACAGGTTGAACCAGCTTATTGCCACGCTCCCCCCAGTCATTGATAAACGCTGCCCAGAAGACCACAGCTGTCTCGCCCAACAAAAAGCTGTTAGCTACAATATATAAATTCTTGACCGCCGAAGCTAGGGTAGGAATCTTTCGACTGACAGCTAATAATTCCTCCCTGCGCCAGCTTGACAGCCTTCTGTAGCCGTGGCCGTGCAAACTTCAATTTCATCCGTCGTCGGTACCGCCGTTCGAGTCGGAATTGGTGCTTTTGTGAGAGAAGCGAGAAGTCGGGAGGCCATGGCTTTTTGGCCTTGTAAACCCTTTGCGCCAGGAGGGCTCCTGTCGGAAACATGGTGATGTTTGCCCGTCCGATGTTTGGCGGTTTGACGGTCGCCGGATCAGATAAACGTGCTGTACGGTATCTGGTATGATAGGCTAGAAATACTATGATTCTGGATGCTGGACAATGGCGTTGTTGCGGAAGGAACTATTAAGCCAAATAACAACTGACAGCCTGCAAGGCGACAGCTCCCCGTTTAGTCTACGCTGACCCTGCGCTGTTCCGTCGCTCTTCGGTCTCGAATCTCAACATCTTATCACTTGGCTCTGCAACGTACCGTAGCTCTCTTTGCATCAACCCCCTCTGATCCACGAACACCTATCCACCAGCCATCTCCAATACCTTACCCTTCTCCACTTGATCCCCCATTCGGCCATCACCTCCGCCCCAATCTCACGGGCAAAAAACGAACATGTCGAATTTTCATGCTGTACCGCAACCGCGGCGACCAGCTTCAGGCACTACCGGCACCGCGGTCAACGGTAACAATGCGTCTCCCGTGGGCCCCGCGCCGGCTGCCTCTCAACCGGATATCCCAGGCGCCTCGCTAATCCAACTATCTCCACGGGTGTCCAACTCACCGACACGACCCCTCAAGGAGGAGGAGGAGGAGGAGGAAAAGCGTTGCTGGATTTGTTACACTAGTGAGGCCGAGGAGGAGCTACCAAAGAGCGATTGGAAATCACCATGCAAATGCACCCTCGTCGCTCACGAGTCGTGTCTGCTTGAGTGGATTGCGGATCTTCAACGACCCGAGAGCAACAACCCTGGGGCCAAAATTGCGTGTCCCCAGTGCAAAACCCAGATCAGACTTAAGGAACGGAAAAGCATTGTGTTGGACATTGTTGAGGGGATTACGAGGGTTGTTGGAAGGGCCGTTCCCGTTCTATTACTTGCTGGTTTGTGCACTGGAAATTGGATTGGATTTTGTTTGGGAACAATTGTGCTAACAGAATACATAGGTGTTGGTTCTGTCGTGTTTGTTGGGTGTACGGTTTACGGTAATATATCTTGGTTCCCGTCCACTGGGTCGTCCAATCGCTAACACTCTGAGCAGGCGTCAACACAATATATGCTGTTTGTGGCCCGGCATATGCAAACCAGATCCTACTAGGAAGGAATTCCGAATTCGCTTGGACATGGCGTATGTCTATATCCTCTTATTTCCCGTGATAAATCTATAACCCAATGCAACTGGACTAACGCGGCACAAAAATAGGTCTCGGTATTGGTCTTCCGCTTATCCCATTCGTACTCGTAGCATCTCGTACCCGCACCTTTGAATCCGCTCTCCCGGTTCTCCCGCTAATCTTCTTCTGTCATTCCGACCCTCTCTACTTATCGTTTCCGCCATCACCAGCTATCACTCTAGCGGTGTTACCCTACTTAAGGGGAGCTTACAATAGTCTTTGGAGTCGTTTCATAAGTCCCTATGAAGATGGTTGGATCAAGGATGTCACCCCGGCTTATGCCCTAGAAAATGCAGAGAACCGGCAGGCAGCCAACCAGAACGCCAATGATCAGAGGAGACAGGAGAACGTCAACGGCCAACAAGGGAACCGGCAGGCGGGAGAGAACGGGGAATTAGGCGCGGAGGCTGCCGTAAACGGCAATAGGTGGGATGGAGAGGTCCATCTCGAGAATCATAACATCATCATTCAGGGAAGCAACATCACAAATATGATCCTAGGAGCACTGCTTTGGCCGAGCGTTGCAAGGATGGTGGGGGAGAATGTCCTTGGGAAGTGGCCCAAAGCCTGGGGAGGTGACGTTGTAAGGAAGCTGCTTCCGGAGGGTGTCGTGAGGAATGTTGTTGGTGGGCTTATGGCCGTGGTGCTAAAGGTATGTCATGTTTTGCTTTTCGTTGCATCGATTTCGGGATCCCGCACATTTCCGTTTCCGGGTGTTGGTTTCCCGAATGTTGGTACCCGGTTCACTGGGAGGAAGGAAATCCACGCCCTCGGTGCAGCACGAACCGCAACTGTGGACAACCGGTTGTGTTTTTTTTTCTTTTTCCGTGCCGCCAAGAGTCGATGACGAGTGATAGGAAACTTATCGTGTTATACGTTCCCTAATTTCAATTCCCCCAACTGCTTCCTTCCATGATCACCCTATTTTGCTTTTTCTATGCCATCCTTCCCGTTGGGGCCCCTTGGAGCCCACATGACACAAGATCGCAAGGTGCTAAAAGCTGCTTTATTTTACTAACAAGGCGTGTCAATTTAGGACTTTATCTCCTTGTATTGCAAGTACAAACGTGCCCAGCAATTCCGGACCAGAAAGGTTTTGGATTACAATGATGTGAGGAAGGAAAAAGAGCGGGAGAAGGAGAAGGAGAAGGAGAAGGCTAGATCCGCGGCAGGGACCGGCTCGAGTAGAAGGTAGTGTGGTCATGATCGTAGGCGTGCCATCCGTAACCACTCTCACGGGTTACCAACTACCCCATGTATTGCATAAAGAGGGCAAACCTTTTTTTTATATTTCTTTTTATTAGCCCTCCTTTCTCTTTTCTCTGTTTTGTTGGTGATCTTCAGCCTGCTGTCCGCTGCGCTGTTGGAACTAACTTATGCGCATGATTGCCTTGGTGAACAATACCGGTATCACGGTTCTCACTACCTCTATCCTAGCTGTGATTTTCTTTTCTTTTTCCCGTACCCATTCACTGAATGTTTCTCCTCCCCCTCTATCATACCGGCGTATCATCTCCACAACATTTCTGTCTTGTTTCTTTTCCTCTCCTTCTTCTTTCTTGGGACCGGGAGTTGTCTGATGGGTATCCATTCCATATCCTTGTTTTTCTTTTCTTCTTCTTGAAATAAGGGCAGTACCGGTACCGTAGTACATGTAGGAAATTATGTAATGCAAAATGGAATGAAACATGAGCACGAAAACCACGAGTAGGGTATTCTTTTTATTCCAACTTACTGCGTGCGCTGCTGAACTACCTTCCTACCTAGTGCAGGTAAGAGGAACCGGGAGAGAGAGATCAGGCTCAGCTGAAGAGACCTACCTGCAGAATTAGTGTGTTGAGAAGCTGCACCAATACTTTTAGGGTACAGTAGGCTGTGCTGTGAGGCTCCCAACTATTTTTGTTTCCACAGCTTTTGGATAGTAATTAGCGTATCATGCGGTGGTCTACTCGAGCAAAGCGCGGAGGATCAAGCACCTAGTTTACCTATCACGCTTTGCACCTATCCGTAAAGCGAGCTATGATACCGGTACTGTACATGTTTATCCATTACGATACCAAAGAGCGTCCCTCCCGCCGGACAGCCACCGTCAGCAACCGCCACCAGATACTCGGATAATATCTTAATATAATACACTGTACGATACTAGCACCGTAACTATCTGTTACTCGTGTCATTTTACCTACCTACCTACCTACCTACCTACCCATTACACCATGGACATATCAGGAAGGTGTACAATACCAATAATGCTTGTATTACTCGTAGAGTGAGGCTCCCGTACGCGCCAGGCAACTCTTCAAGCTCGACCGGACCGGACCGTGTCAGCCCGAGCAGTTCTACAGTATCATACCCAAATTACCACACGGTACAGTATGCCTCGCATGTTTATCTTATCTACTCGTATGTATCCATCCATCCACCTTGCACCGTACCGAAACAATCCCGACACAAACAAACAATTACCGAAAACCAAATCTCCTTTTCCGCCCGCCCACTTCTCTTTTTTTTTTTTTTTTTTTGGGGGGGGGGGCGTTTACCATACCATACTCGTAGCATACGAACCGAACCCGAACCGAACTGAAAAAAAAAAAAGTTGGTGGGAAATCTGTGTATGTTAGAACCGAGATTTCGGTAATTCCGTACCGTACCATTATTGTTACGAGTACCGTATGATAACCGTAGATGTTAGTCCCCATCCCATCCCGTCCCAACCTACTCGTAACAAAACCTTTCAACCGCCGCTTTTGCCTCCATTTTTTTTCTTTTCCCATGGTAGCGGTTCTATGTGTTCAGCCCGACCGAGAACCGAGAACCGAGAACCGATGTGGTTTGTCCATAATATCGTAGCAGTTGGTGGAGAAAGAAAGAAGAAAGAAAAAGTTGTACTGTACTGTACTCGCACTTGTATTGTGTGGACCCGGTGGGGTGGTAAGGCTTACCGTACCGTACCGTACTTAACCTCGTTCCGTTCCAACTGGATGTGATGAGGGTACATTTACTGTATTGTACTAGTACTATATGTTATGCCCGCCAGTCCGTTCGGTTCGGTTTTGTATTGTTTGTTGTTTATCCTGTGAGACTTGTATGATTGATTATTGGAGGTTGTGTTACGGATGTGTTATGTTTTGCTTGTACTTGCTATATCCGGAGTTTGTTTTGTTTTACTCTGTTGGGGTTTTTCTCGTGATGTTTCTTTCTCTGCTGAAGTGGATGTATCGTTGCAGCTATGATAACAGTATCGCATGTCTAAAGTTTGACTCATGAGGATGGCGTTTCCGAGGTAGGTATTTTTGATATGATTTTTTGCAGCTGGTGGCTGGGTATCGTCGGTTTAGCTTACCGTAGCTTACGGTAGCTTAGCTTAGCTTAGCTTACCATGTCTTGCGCTTGGGATGTGATGTGATGTTGGTTGGTTGGTTGGATGTCGCCTGTTGCTGTGAGGAGGAGGAGGAGGAGGAAAAATATGGGATGAACTGGTTTGGAATAGTGTTTACCGTGGTCTACACTGAACTGGACTGGCTAGTAAATTGGGATACAAAGAGTGTGCGTTGTAGAATGCCCTGCTCGAGTGTACGAGTATAATATGGAGCGGTATGAGAACTACAACTGACCACGTTACCATACTGTACTTGCACCTGTACTCCAGCGGCCGAGTTCAAAGTTGGACACACCCGAAGGGGGCACGACAGTGATTGCCAGACCAATACCGGTAAAAAAAGCGACGCAGGGCAACACAACCAAAGAATAGATACGATACAGAAAAGAACAAAAAAAAATACACCAAAAATCTGCAAACTACCGTAACTTTAATACATGTCTCCCATATATGAACTGAGAATCTAGCTGTTAAAGTTATCGTTTCCATCATCCAGTATTTGCCGATGGAGTATTGAAAGAGCTGCTCTCTTGAGTACGGTACCGGTAGAGGCACATGAGGTGCTGTTCCGAGTCCGTGTGCGGGGGGCGTATTGGGCAGTCTGTTGATGGAGGAAATGAGGTACTGTACGAGTACTTGTGTGAGTTGTACTGTAAACTACTCGGGTATTGTCTAGTGGGAATAGAGGTCATATCATACATACTTCACTTACGGTATACGGAATCACATCTCTCTGCTTGGTACCTCTCGTCTGCATGTTTATTGGCCCAGCGATCGCTAACCCCTTTAGAGTGTCCAACTTCCACTCGGCCGCGGGGGTACTCGAGTACTACAAGCACGGTACGGTACAGTGATGGATTGCGGTGCAGGGTGGTTGCTGTGCTCGTAGGGTAACCGTCGAGTGAGCGATTGACAAGCTTCTTTTCTTTTCTTCCCTTTTTTGTTCCATACACCGTACTCGAGTACCGTACTCTACGAGTACGAGTGCCGCCGATAGATATATAGGTCATGTGATAAGCTGGTGTAGAGCGGCAAGTTGCAACGAGCAAGAAACTAAACACCATACATTTAAAACTCAAGATACTTAAAGAAGAATAAGTAGGTCATAAACCAGGAGCTAACAAGAAATTGTGAAATAAAAAGAAAGAGAGAGTTGAGCGAAAATCATCAATAGAAATCAAATCAGCCACGAAAATTATTATCCCCCTTATTCTTAATAACAAGTTGCAACTTATTTTGAAGATCTAAACAGTGACGATTAATGAGATCAATCGGTATCTTTGTTAAGAATCCTACCGGGTAGGACCTAGCGACAGGTAACGATACTTCTCTGTAAGGTGATAGCTCTTAGGCTTACGCCTACGCGAACTCAATAGTCTAGTCCTTTGACTACTATTGTACTCGCGCCTAAGGTGATAGCTCTTAGGCCTATGCCTACGCGAACTCAATAGTCTAGTCCTTTGACTACTATTGTACTCGCGCCTATCTCCTTATTCTTCTCCTTAGTCCTCGCCTAGGACTTCAATCTCTTCTCGTGAGAGGAAAGACACTTCTCGGGTTTCTCAAGATAAATCTTAAAGAGCGTAACGGTAGGTTTTATTGATAATAACTTAAAGGTAGGAAATAAACAAGAAGAACGTGTGAAGAGCTTATATTCAGGGTCCTAGTGACCCTTTATATAGTTGCTCTTCACCTGGCGTGACTCATACCTCGCGTCACGCGAACCCTGTGACTCATAATCATGAGTCATATGAAATCCATCAGACGACTCCTATGAGTCGCTGCGCAACATGCCTAAACCAATCAAAACATAATAACCAAGTCAGGTGCGCAACTCGCGTCACCTAAGTGAAACCCATGACTCATAAGTATGAGTCATGTGCGAAAATCATAACATCGTGTGACTCACAATTGTGAGTCACGAACAGGTAAACATAATAACCTATAACTCGGAAATCCGAGCTATGTGGAATCTGCCTTGCTTAGTCACAGTTCGTGACAATCTTCTCCCATTCTAACACCAGAGCTGCTTTTACCTGATCTTTTGTAGCATGACTTTGACCTTTGAACTCATACTCTTCTAGTGAGTCTTTCAAATAGTTCCAAAGTGGTTCTATTTTATTCAAATCAGGTGACTGGGCTGGCCAGTCAACAGATCGTATACCTCCTCTTTCCCGCTCCTCCTCACCCAATTCTCGTGCAGTAGTGTGGGCTGGAGCATTATCTTCAACAGCCCACATTTCTCTTCCAGTCTCTTGTTCTACCCGTTGCAGGAAAGGATAGTAGAGCGGTCGTAGGATATGCTCTCTATATAGTACCCAATCGATACCGCCCTTGCTTCTATCTCCGCGCTCTTTTATTTGTTCCTTGAATTCCCATTCTGGGCGACGCTTTTGTCGAGGATACCCAGATGGAAGTGGATCAGTTTGATCCAATCGCTGTATATTAGTATTCAAATCTTGTAAGATTTTAAACTCTTCTGTCCCCTCAATTCGTGCCAGAGCTCGTTTCTGATCCTGCTTTTGTCTTTTCACCCTATTTTCTCTCTCCAACATATCATTAAAGTATTCTTTCTCTTCCTTAGATTCCTTCTCCCATACAAAACAAGGACCCCGATACCCGTAGGCCATGCAACTCCAAAACATGATCCGTACACCGGCCGATTTGAACTGATGCCTTCCGTAATCGAGTGGATTAGATCCACGAGGACGGGATATATTCGGGGGCCTACGGGGGTGCCCAATCTCAACCCATGTTTCATCGGAATATGCAAAGCATCTAGAATAATGTTAACTTAATTTATTATTTTCTAATATACTACACAAATATTCGTAAGATTAGGTTGAAGCTAAACACCAAAAGTCGTAACTCTTGTACAAAGTGTCTGGCTTCAACTCAGCTACACGAGTACTTTATAATAATAGAAAGTTAAATTAAAAAAAAAAAAAAAAAAACAAAGCAAACAAAGGTATTGAACTACCTTGGATCCATTCGAGTTGCCCAAAAGGCAAAGTTCATACGAGCTTCTTTATGATACATATTGAGAGGTGGTTTTGGTTGACTGGGAGGAAACCGATAGATATTATGATGGTTGTGCATCACACGCTCGATGGTGGACCTTGCAGCCTTGATTCCCAATTCCTTTGCTAACTGTGGAAAGGTTTTGATGTAACTATCAGGACCACTCTAGGAGGCTCTTTTGAGAGCAAGGGATTGTTCTGAGTCTTCCGGTATCACCTCGGCACGTCCGGGGCGGTCTAGACTTCTCAAAACCGCATACAAATCACAAAAATCGCTTGGATCACTTGCACGATCCTGTTTAATTAAATGAGATCAGTATAATTGTAATTATTATGAATCAAAATTCTAATCAAGAGCTAATATTACCTTTGCCTTTACACAGATTTGTCGAGCGGACTCTGGACGAACCTGAAGACAACTGGATATTTCATTCCATGTCTTGTCGGTAAAGAGGTGTAGAGTCAGAATTGGGCAACGGATTTCAAGTGAGATCTCGCTTGATCCATAGGTACGGCCCATGATTTCTTATAAAGAGTCAAATGAGATAGGTTGTTGAAATATTCTGGTCACTAAACTTGAAGGTGATATGGAAAAGAGATTTCGACTTGGTGATGGTAGGAGCTGCTCTCCCGATGAAGTCATCAAGGTCATGATCCTCATGGTTGCTAACATGCCGCTCTACACCAGCTTATCACATGACCTATATATCTATCGGCGGCACTCGTAGGGTATTCCACCTATGATACCGGTATGATACGTGTAGATCTCACCCAGGCACGATACTTTTCATGGGGGGCAATGATATGATACCTCCTTCCTCAACCCGCTTGCCTCGGCTCTTTGCCAGCGAATGAGGACCCGGGTAATGATTCCGCCCCACGAACCGTAACCGCAACCAACCGTGATATATACAGTAGATGACATTTGGTAATTAAGCACTGTAGCGTAATTCACGTTTGTCGGTGACAGAGGTCATTCATTCGAAGGCCAGCCAGCGAGCATAGCCGTACTGTACTGTACACGCACGGTAACAGCAACTGTGCTCCCGATACCCAATCACAACTTACCGGTATTCATCCCCTTGCGCATCTGGTCAGTCCAGGCCAGTCCAGCCCACCCCCTCCGTCCCGCACGGTATGATACCAACAAAAAAGCCATACGGTAACCGCCCTTGCAACAGCCCCAAAATACCGGTATCGCGTACTAGTACAGTTACGGTATCGCTCCGGCAGCCGAGAACAACATGGAACATGAGTCCGTAACTCCATGGTTACCATCCGTACTCGAGAAAGTGTCAAGTGTAAAGGGTAACGTGCAGTTCCTGCTACCCGACTACCGTAACCCTACGGGAAATCGAGCCAAGGACACACAAGCACGAACGATATCTCGTGACGCATCCGATTTCGAGATCCCCAGCGTCCGTGCGAGGCGAGTGAGTGGGTGAGTCGGACGGAGATGTCTGGATAGAGTCTGGAGTGCGGAATGGGGCTGTTTCACGCACTCGCGCGGGGTCGAGTGTGTACTGTACGAGTACGGTAGGTGAGTGAGTGAGGATCACAACATTAGTAAGGAGAGACAAAGTGAGTGAGGTGGGGGGGGGGGGGTTCCACTCTCCTCTGCCTGATCAGATCAGATCTGGTACTTTTTTTTTCTTTTTTTCTTTTTTTCTTTTTCTTCTTCTACTCGTCCGCAATCTTTTGGTCCTTCCTCGAATTTCACTTCGCGCGCTAGACCATTGCTAAAGTGGACTACGGTAGCGAAATGGGTTTATTGTTACGGTATTGTTATTATTCATTTTTTTCTTCTTCTCAACCCTTCTCAGGCACCAGCACGGAGAGGGGCGTCGTTACACCGTCGTTCCAGCGCAGGCGGTACCGGTAGCCTGAAGCTAGGGCAATTGGACAGGAAAGCCCCGTATTACGGACACAGGTAATCCTCATATCGATAGGCAGGCCATCGTGCAATATTGTCGTCCCTCCGCCCTGATCAGCTCGCATGAAACCGTCGATCTGTTGTTGTTATTCTAGAATTCTGATGTGTGTGCTGTGTGTGTGGAGGTATCACGCCCGAGTACGAGTAAGTTACTAGCCGATTTCAAAAGTATCCGGACACCCCGGCGCCAAGAGAGGGCTGCTAGGTGCCAAGGTGTCCAGATACTTTAAAGATCAGCTAGTGCAAGTGCCAGGATAAAGTTTTTGCACAGTTAATTTAGGTTAATCTGCAAAATAATCCCTGTCTTGTATAAAAACATCTCCCCTGGCACTTGTACTAGCTG